TTAGGCTTTAGTTTGTCTATTTGCTTACTAACATCGTTGCTAGTCACTACTATCTCGCTTAATTTGTTTTCTTCACCATCTTTGAATAGAGTCGGTGCCTCGGGTATCATGTTTAAATTTTCGGTGGTGAAAACTGTTGAAAAATATTTATTCAGATTATTCCTCATTTCTCTGTCGTTATCAGTTAACTCGCCGGTATCTGACCGTATTGGTCCAATCTTTTCTCGTGTTTTAGTTTGGGGTTTGTCTTCGCCTCCCTTGCTATCCTTACCTCATTATTCCTCTTGGTTAGGTTAGGTGGGTTAGGTTAGGTGAGTCCTGTTAGGTTAGGTTAGTTTGGTTAGGTTAGGTGAGTTGGGTTAGGTTAGGCGAGTTGGGTTAGATTAAGGTGAGTTGGGTTAGGTTAGGTGAGTTGGGTTAGGTTAGGTGAGTTGGGTTAGGTTAGGTGAGTTGGGTTAGATTAGGTGGGACGGGTTATTTAAATTCGAGTATTAAGGTGTGAAGTAGTTTTATATAAGTCAGATATTTGAATTGGATTTAATTTATTAGGTTAAATGGGATTAGGTTATTTAGGTCAATTGTCATGTCAGGTTAAGTAAGGGTTGGATAGAAGATAAGGTGGTTTAATTTTAAGTTCTGGTACGAGACGGGTAGGGAAAGGTCAAGTGAGGTCAAGATAGGTGAGGTTTTGTTCTTCGTCATTATAATTATCTGATCGTAGACATTAAAAATTTGGGCTCTACACCAGCTCAGTTTTCCACGTTCATCTCCTACTGTGGACGGTACAAACATGGTGTGAGGCAGGGATGGGTGTCATGCGGCGGGCTGGCGAACAAATTGACTAAAACACACACATCCGGTAAGTAGTGATAAGTTATCTCCCCAGCAGTACACAATAGAAGCAACACCACCCGGCTAATACAACACACCCATGATACCAACACACACCGTCTGCAGTCATCAACTTCTTTGGGTTTTGCACATTTCACATTTCATGAAATATCGTGAAAACAATTTATTAATACAGACAAAACGAACCAACTTTAATCGTGGGTGGCCTCGGAACGGACACTCACTCTCGCTCTCTGCTTGAGAACAGTTCTCCTCACCACACCAATAAACTGGCAAACATTAGCCTGAGTTTTCCTGGACCAAATACTACATTGGTGACCTCAAAGTAACCGAATATATGCGGTCTTGTTACCATGTCAATACCAGGCGCATCCAGAGCTGCTACAGCTGCCGACGACGCTGTTGTGCTGTCTACCCTCGCCCATCCTGCCGTTCCGGCCTTTATTGGCTCCGACCCGGAGTTTTGGCTACTGCAGCTCAACATCTACTTCACGGAATGCCGAATAACTGCTTCTGCCACGAAGTACCACCATGCCGTGTCGATGCTACCACCTACTGTCTCCATGGAAGTGCGCGACATCCCCACAGCGCCCCCGACGGAGGGGCCTTTCGAAAAATTGTGCTTGGCGTAACGGGCGCGGCTGGGCGCATCTTCTCGGCAGCGTATGCAGCAGTTGTTAAGGGAAGAGTCCCTCGGCGACAACAAGCCTTCCCAGCTCCTGTGATGCCTCTGCCACTTAATCTCCACCACCGGCACTACATCAGAAGACCTCATTCTCAATTCATTGTTCCTACAGCGTTTGCCAGCCAACATTCAGACAGCGCTATCCATATTTCCAGAGAATACTTCACTGGACGTCATGGCGGAGTCAGCTGACCACTTCATGGAAACGTCTAGTTCTATGACTGCTAGTGTCTTCAGTGACCGGGCCCTCCATTGCCAACTGCCTTGCTCCTGCTCCTGGCTGGGGCGACCAGAACCTGGCCGCCTCTTCCACCTCACAGATCACTGTACCAGTATGCACTCCCTGATCGACACTGGAGCGTGTATTAGCCCCTGTCTCATAGGCAAAAGTTCTTATATAAATATGGGTAATTTACATTAAACTTGTATAATTATCATCCCCTGTAACTTTCCACTAGCTATGAGGTTCATGTTCAGAGCTCGTGATAAGGTGTGTCCACAGGAAGACGCGCCACTTAGTGCTGAGCTAAAGAGTAAGTAACCGTCTCCGTGGCCACCAATTGCGTGCAGTAGTTTGATAACCCTGACGTATTTAGTAAAGCTACTCTACGATAGCCTCCGTCCTCATTTAACACTCATAGCTACAGTGATTAAGTTACGGTGATAATCCTTTTTGAAAGCGTACATAGAAACCTTTTATAGTAAACGTAAGAAAGGACAGCTGGATTTCGTTACTGAAAACCCAATAAACTTTGATCTATATTTTAGTTCGTCTAGAATATAAGGTAACAAGCTTCACAAGTGATTGTTACAAGTGGTGACAACCCAGGAAGGTTGTTACATACATGACAGCTTCATAAGTAGTTTTTATACAACGGTAACAGTCACCCAACAGATACACAGTTGGTAAAGGTAGAGATATTATGTTCTCCCATTACTGTGTTATACTGTGACAAAGAAGCTATAGTTACAAAGTTGGCAAAGTGCAGCTTAAAAGGACCCAGTCTAGGACCAGTCTAAGGTGACCAGTCTACAGGACCAGTCTACAGGACCAGTCTACAGTTTTCAGTTAGTCAAGTATACTCCAGGTAACCGTGAGAATTTTGGTAAAAGAAGTTATTCCTTACACCGGAGTTGAGTAACAGTTGAGAAATTCTGTTCTCCTGTTACTCCTACTGATGTAACAGGAATTAAAAGAGTATCAAGCGCAGTTCAGTGTATTGCCGAAGCCCAGCGGCAAAGCAGCACCCACATCAACCACCAAGCTATTGGCGGCAAACGGCACCTGCATCAACAACTACGGCTCCAAGTCGGTCACGCTGGATCTCAACCTTGGCCGATGATACACGTAGAAGTTCTAAGTAGCTGATATCAGTTTCTCTGTCATAGGCATGGATTTCCTGCAACATTACTGCTTCTCAATCGACATGCAGCACCAAAAGATCTGCGACCCAACCACCCAGCGCTGCATCAGCGGGTGGCCAGCCACCATTGCATCTCTGGGACTCACAACTGACTACCCAAAAAATTCTCCTTATATCAAGCTCTTGGAGGAATTTCTGTCTCTGACGCATTCCAGTGACAACCCTCTGCCGCTCGAATATGAAGTGGTCCACCGTATTGAGACCAACGGGCAGCCCACCAGTCTTCTCCCGCTTTCGGCGCCTAGCACCCGAGGGAGTTCAATCAGATGCTCAGCCTGGGCATAATTCGCCCATCGAAGAGCATCTGGCCCTCGGCGCTGCACATGGTACCCAAAAAGCAGCCGGAAGCTGGCGCCCCTGTGGCGATTACGGGTGCCTTCAATGCGGTGACAGTCCCCGACCGCTATCCATTGCCCCATATCCACGACTTTGCCGCCAATCTTGCTGGAGCTACTATCTTCTCGAAGATAGACTTCGTGAGGGTGTACAACCAGATACTCGTCAACCCAGCTGACGTATGTAAAACTGCTGTGACTACTCCTTTCGACCTGTACGAATTCGTCAGGCTTCCGTTCGGCCTGGGGAACGCCAGCCAGACGTCCCAGGGTTTATCGATAACGTGCTGAGAGAACTGCCATTAGTCTTCTCCTACGTTGATGACTGCCTAGTGGCAGCATCTTCGCCAGACCTTTGACAGCTTCCGCCAGTACACGATCATCATCAACAAAGAAAAGTGCCAGTTTGGCGTCCCCGAGCTCTCGTTCCTGGGATATCACATCTCGCAGCATGGAACAAAACCCCTGCACTATAAGGTCGAAGCCAACACTGCTTTCCCACTGCCTCAAATTCAGAAGCAGCTCAGGCGGTCCTTGAGACGTGTGGCATATTACCACCATTTTGTCCCTCGCTGCGCTGCCTTACTTCGCCCGCTCTACGCTCTTGAATTGAAGGAAGACAAGTCAGTAATGAGTGCCGTATTCTGGACGACAGACACAACACAAGCTTTCGAGAAGGTGAAGAAAGCATCGGCCAACAACACACTACTGAGCCACCCTCACCTTGGCGCACCTCTCAGCCTCACAGTGGAAGCCTCTGATACCGGCGTCGGCGCCGTATATCACCTGCACATTTACGGCTGCGCCAAACCACTGGCCTTCTACTCAAATAGCCTGCAGCCACAGGAAACGCGCTCATCTACGTTTGGTTGCGAGCTGCTCGCCTCATACCTGGCTGTAAAGCACTTCTGCTGCTTCCTGGAGGGGTGCGATATCAGCCTCTACACTGACCACAAGCCCCTTGAGTCGGCTGTCATTAATGCCTTGGGTCAGCACTCACCAAGGGAGCAACAGCACCTGGATTTCTTTCTCCAGTTCATGGCTAACATTCGCCACGTCAAGGGTGAAATAAATAACGTCGTCGACGCCCTCTCGCGCGTTTTTGCACTCTCGGGTGACAACTCTAACGCTTCTAAACTGGACTTCACGCTGCTTGCTGACGCTCAACAATGCAACAGCAACAAACGACAGCTACGGACTGCGAATACAGGGCTCCAGCTTCGCGACACACCTCTCCGTAATGGCAAAACGTTGCTTTATGATACATCGGCCAACTGATTTCGTCCACTAGTTTCCCTGGATATGCGCTGACAGTTGTTTCAGTCGCTGCACTCGCTCTTGCACCCTGTCATCCGTGCAACGCAGAAACTCGTCACACAGCACTATGTCTGGCCTTCCATCAACAGTGATGTGCGACGCTGGACCAAAGCGTGCACGGCCTGCCAAAGCTCTAAAATCCAACGCCACACTAGGCACCTGTTGGTATGTTTCTGCCACCATCTGCTCGCTTTGACCATGTCCACGTCGACATCATTGGACCTCTACATCCCTCAGAAGGCTTCTGATACCTTCTAACAATCGTCGACAGCCTTACTCGTTGGCCGGAAGCAGCATCCATCACCGAGATCACAGCACAAGCAATCGCCAAGGCCTTTCTCTCTGGTTGGGTTGCTCGCTTTGGGTTGTTCGCTTTGGCATCAACTGATGAAACTGCTCGGCTCTTCCCGCATCTGCACCACCGCTTATCACCCAGCAAGCAACGGGCTAATTGAGAGGCTTCACAGCCAGTTGAAGGCAGCCATCATGGCCCAGTCGGCACCAAGCAGTTGGACCGGGTATCTGCCACTCGTTCCCCTACGGATCCGGTCAGCCCTTAAGACCGATTTGGGCTGTTCAGCGGCTGAGCTCGTCTACGGCTATGCCTTGTGCCTTCCCAGAGAGTTTCTAGCCTTCACATCAGCTCCATCATCGCAGTCTGGTTCGTACGTGAAGACACTCCGCGACTGTATCCGGTCCCTGCGTCTTACACCACTAAGGCATAACTCTCATAGGCAGGTTTTCATCGACAAGGCCCTGGACGATGTAACACACGTTTTTGTATGGCGTATGGCACATGAACCGCCACTGCAACGCCCCTACGACGGTCCCTTCAGGATGCTCCGCCAGTCGTCTAAGTTTTTTACGATCGACCGCCAAGGGGTTTGGCACACACTCTCCCTCTCCCTACTGAAAAAGGCCCACATCGACGAGGATGCGGATGTTCCCGGCCCCAGCAAACACAGGCCGACCAACGCTGCCTCTGCAATAGACGCAGAACCTGCGACTACGGTCATGTCTGCCAATGAGGTCTGATCGTGTGGTGCGGCTGCCGCTTCGGTTTCGACGCCTCACTTTCCCTACTAGTGATCGTCGGGAGGGGGCTGATGTAGGGACTGAAGAATAACTATTATGAATTTAATATAATGTAATATAATGTATTTAAATTAATATGAATTTAATGTAATGCAATATACTTAACGGATGCCTATACATTTTTGTAACTAGTTGTTTTTCTCATGTAACTGTTGTTGACTCGGCTGGCTGACGTGTCTGAAGTTGGTTCGAGACAGCTTCGTTCAGTCAGTTGGTACTAACTCATGGGTGGCCTCAGAACGGACACTCACTCGCTCCGTGCTTGAGCACAGTTCTCCTGACCACACCAATAAACTGTCAAATATTAGCCTGTTTTTTTCATGGACCAAACACTACAACATCAGTGTAGGATACCTCATTCATCCATCACACCAATAGCCAGAAAACTGAATGGGTGGATCATGGGAACCGTCCAAACAAAAGAGACAGGCTGTATGCTAAGCCTCTGGAAGGCTCTTATTCTACCCAAAATAGAATACTGCTACCAACTAAGTTCACCCCACAAAATAGGTGACATAATAAGAATAGAAGCAATCTAAAGGGGCTTCACAAGTGGAATCCAGAGTTTTCGGCATATGAATTACTGGGAGCGGTTGAAAGAATTAAAACTTTATTTAGTGCAGAGACGGAGAGAGTGTTACTTAGTGGTCTATATCTGGAAGATCCGTAAAGACATGTACCTAATGTGTGGATGATCCCAAACCCCTACCTAAGAAGAGAAAGGCTGTGTTACATTAGGTCAGAAGCCACAACCCAGCATTGTACACAGTTGCTTCTCATATAATGGAGCCCACCAATTAAACGCGGTGAGCAAAGACATCAGGGAGATGTTAGAGACCACACCCGACTCCCAATACAACAGAGCAATCCTGCTAGTACTGCAGGACATTAGGATTATTGAGCTGCCTGGTTACAGTGGAGGTCTACCTCAGGTGCCCCCACGAGTGAACGAAATTCAACAAGGAGTAATTATTTAAAAAAAGCTGCAATATCGCCATGTTTTGTCGTGGACACTGTTATAATTTGGGCTTATGTGTTAAAAAGTGATTATGTCTAAATTAAACCTAACCTAACCCTAGTTGATAAAAAAAAAACAAGCAGCACAAGCATTGTTAGAAGACCGCAGGCCCGCACCAACTTGACCAAAGAAAACTACCTAACCTTACCTAACTTCCTAGCAATGGAGTTCCGCCTCCCGGACCCCCAGCATATTAAATAGAAAGAACTAACAATGATGTGGTGTAATTTTACGTTTTTGGTGGACATGAGAACAGCCGCCCGGACAGAGTGGCTCATAGACGTACTGTACACTGAGCGTAGGCGTCGATGGTTCGCCAGCACTCAGCAGAGCGTGGCAGAGACCGTGCTGAAGTGTTTTGAAATATGTCAATGTGATTGGTTGTTAACTTCATGGATGCAACATCACCACTGTATCATCGCTGAGAAAGACAAAGCAGTGCGAGCCTAGGTGCTTAATTATATACCAAACAAAGCATTTGCCCAAGAAATGAATATCATATTAGATGGAGCTCACTGATCAAAATATATTAAAAAAAAGAAACATCAAAACAAATAATTTGTCGGTGGGTATTTCATCAATATTAACCCAAACGTTTTAAAATACAGTAGTGAGAAAGATTATAATCACTGGCAACAATGTAATTTTTATTACGTAGAAGTAAATAATGGTTACGACTAATTACAGTTAGTCAACTTCATTTGAAAATCCGTCAAAAATTTCCAACGGTGTGTTATGAGCTACTTAGGAAAAAATCTATAGAAGAAACTTTTTTTTTACCTTTCGAATATTAAATGAAGTTTGGAGGAATTCCAACCTTCTTTCTTTCGTTTTTCTATAGTCTTTCTTACGTGACGGTCGTCGCCGCCTTGGGTTAAGCTCTTGATGTGCTCGCCAGCGAAGGGATTTTAATGTTAAGCAATCTTTCCAACGAACTTTCCATACGCTCTGTTAATAATAAAGCGCCTTAACCATTCAACCAATCCAATCAACCTAGAATACTGGCTTGGTTGGTTAATTTCTCTTATTTATGATAAATCATATGTGGTAGGTGGTCGATGGGAGTGTTCACGGGTATGAGGAGGTGCTCAAATGCTCTTCAGGTATGAAACGACGTCCCGGACAAAATCGCACAAACTGAGAATACAGACAATTTTCTTAAGCCCTCATTATTTGTTGGTATTTACTTAGATGAGAAACAGTTTATAAATGTATATGCAAAACTTAAAAAGTTGTGCAGCCGGTTTTCAAGTGTACGGAACGGAAGCATTAATGACAAAAAATCGGAAATCACAAAATTATAAAAGTTACAATTTCTTCAGACTTTTGTTGATATTCGAAAGATAACAAACAAGTTTTCCAATATAGACTATTTGCTCGAGTAATTTTTGCTTTTGTAAACTGTGATTACCAAATTGATCTATTCTAACTAAGACCTTCTGAACACTGATTTGCTTTTAAATTTTCTATTATTAGTATCGTTTTATTAAACTTGATTAGCGTTGAATTGTATACTTGTAACGAGAGATTGTAAACATAGCCAGAAATTTGTGTACAAAACAACAAGTGAGAACCAAGAAGTTTCATCTGATTGGTACAGTTACAAATACATGAAGATCATCTTTAATCTTACCAGAGGTGTTTTCACCAACACTCACCTTTCTGTTCTGCTCGCAGGGATGACGTGCGCCAAGACTTAATACACTATACAAAATAATCACATTGGTTTCGACTAAGTTATTATCGCGACACCGGCAGTAGCAGCATTGAGTCCACTGAGTCCATTGACCAGTGACCACAGCACTCAGCATTCAGCACTGAAGAACACTGAGACCTCTAAAAGTAGATGGAGCGGTGCCGAGACGCCAAGAAACTAAGTGGTGCCTCATTACAATGGAAAGACTTATGAACATCTTTTTGGTTATATTTCGAATTATAAAAAACTAAAAAATATTCACTGACATTTATATCGATTTCTTTTTACGAATTATTCTAACGTATCAGGGACGAGTCATCGTTGGTTCTGAATCAGTGAAACACTTCAAATCCAAATCTTGACGTCGTCAGTATCACAACGTGCTGTCAGTCAACAAATGAAAACTTGGAGTTATTATTTTTTTAATTCTATTTTGTTTACTCATTTATAAAAAAAAATATGGAGACTATAAGTGTGCCTAAAAATGTGATTCTCGTTAAGAAAATTACATTGGAACACGTTTCTTATTAATTTTCTTGAATCAACACTTTCGACCACATATTTATGACAAAACCTACCAACATGTGTCATAACCAACATAACGCGATAATTTTTGCTGAAAGCCTGTCCATACACCTCTATGCTTCTATGTAAAGTGTAGATAAACTGTTAAGTGAATGAAATATCCAAGTTATGAAATACTGTACTGTACTTTATTTGTCTTACGTATTAGTTTATTTTTTATTATATATAGTTTGAGTTCAGTGTTTCGGTGCAGGTTAGTAATGGGGTAATGAGGAGTAGGGCCACCCAATCTTGTGACGTTATTGCGAACATATAAAGTGTCAGTGGCAACGAGGCCTTGATACGTTATAAAAACAACATCGAAAGTTAGTGCCGGCCAGACTTGGTACGTTACCACACCCACACCAAGGTTTAGAAACATGTTTAATGGTTCCAGATATCTTCGCAATATATTAATATACTGTATACAATATTTTTACATCCGGTAGGTGGTGTGTGTCAGATATAACACAAAAGATATCTCACCAGTAGGCATAAACACTAAGAGAGAATGGTGCATATACAGAGTGGAGATGGAAGGTCAATCAGCAGTCCCAGAATTGACCACCCGCTTGACCGCCATGTTCGAGTCAACGCATTTCTAACATTCCACGATTTTGATGCAATTAAAAAAGAAAAAAGAAAAGACATTGTAGATCAGGGATTCAATCTTAGTACTTAAAACAATGTTGCAGAATGTTCTTTCCTTTCAATGCTCTCATAAAATTTGTGGATAAAACTGTCTAAATAACTTGGTGATTTCATTCTTGAGGTTTCGATGCTGACTATATGGGATGTAAATTGTAGCTGTACTGGCAGTAGCTAGCTTAACATGTGGTTGGAGTAGTTGGGACAGTTGTTACCCTATAGAGTCATCAACGACGTTTAGAACTTTAGTACACTCTTAGGGACTGTAGCTAGAGGCAGTCTGAGCAGATTTTGTAACCCCCGGTAACAAAGGCGGATATTAAGTTCCCTAAGTATTGGACAGGTATGAGGTAGGAAAATTTAGAGGGTTTATACTATATACTTAAACTCTTAATAAACTGAAGTGCTATGCTGTTTTTGCAGTCTTGCTCTGAAGGAAACTGTATATTGCTATGTCTGGAGGTAATGTATTCTTAAAATAGCGCAATTTGGTCAACAGATTCAAAGAGAAGGACTGAGTCATTAAAGTGTTGTGAGTAAATTAAGGTTTAAGCGTGGCAAGCAATCACTGAGCCATTTCGCCGAGTGGTAAAAGAGAAGGGCAATAGTAAGTGTTAGTTCAAGTGGATTTCCCATCGGTCCACCATCGTTCCTAGCAGTCAAAGACAATAATTTAGACATATGATTCTGCTTTGGTTCACTCAGTCATTACTCCTAAAAAGTTACTCCACACGTATGTCAATAGTTTTACCAAGAGAGATATTCGTAAAAATTAATGTATCGTCAAAAGATGTCATTACATAAATGATAGTTTTTACTGCATGTTTCTATGCCAAATTTGAATGAATCTTTCATTGGAAGCGCTTGTGGGAATACGCATTAATGACTAGACTAAAAATATTGACAAATTTTAATAAAAAGTACCCAATGAGAGAGACTAGAGAGATGAATATTCCTTATATCAACTATCTGTGAAAATAAGAATAACCCTAAAAAATTGTTCTTTTGTATTTG